TTTTTTTCTTTCCCCTTTCTTTTGTGTCTGAGTGCAGCTGAGGAACCTTGGCTCTTGGGGAACAGGGGATTAGAGGGAATGGCTGCAGAAGAGCCCTGCTGGAACCAACAGTGTAAGGGAGGGGGCGAGCAGCCCCTTTGGCCACAGCTGCAGCGGAGGGCAGCCTGCGTGTGGCTGCCTGCGGGCAGGACCCCGGAGCAGTCGGGAAGGTGCTGGAGTTGCCTTTGCTGCCTTGCGCTGGGGAAGAGGAGGGTGCAGAGGGCAGCCCCCGGCCCCTGCTGAGGATGGAAGGTGCGTGGCTGGGGAGGGGGGAGCAGCCCTCCCCACGGCCTTGCCAGGGCCTCTCCCTCGCAGCTGCTCTGCAACAGCCCGAAGGCCGGGGGGGCTGCTGCGCGCTGGCACCAGCTCTCATGTTGCTGTTTGCCTCTTCCAGCTGCTGCTGGACCCTGACACCAGCAAGGACTGACCCAGCCCCGCGGGGCAGCAGTGATGTCCCTAACCAGGGACCGAAGCACAGGAGCATGGCTTTGAGGAAGTTTGTTTTTCAAAGACCAGCTCCTGCGAGGCAGCAGCTCTGACCACAGGCCAGTGAGGTGCTATTGCTGTACCCCCTGTGCACCCAGCCTGCAGAAACATTTTTGCCCTCCTTGACATTCAGGCCCTGAAGCCAGTGGCAGCGGGACAGCAGCTGCCAGGGGGTTGCAAGGGTTTGCAGCAGCTGCTGAAGCTTCACCGGTATCAAAACTGGAATGGCAGTGCTGCTCCGAGGTCAGGGAGGGTGAGGTGACACTGACTGCTTCCAAGCCAACTGGGCCTCAAGGGACCTGAGAGCTGGTGACTCTGACGCTAATAAAGAAAAGTGGTTCTCATGGTAGAAAGATATTTTTTTTTCTTGTGGGTCTTGAAACAGAATTGGGATGTGCAAAAAAAGCCCCTGGCATACTCGTGGACACATAGGGTGTTACATTTACCCACTTCCTCTGCTGCACGGGGCCAGGGTGCTCAGGAGGATGAGCCTGGGGCAGGAGCCCTCACCCTGACCTTCCTCCGGGTAGAGGCCATGGTCCTCATGGGCAAAGCCAGGGAGGGCAGCTCTGCCCCTTCCTTACCTACCCCAGCTGCTCCGCAGGGACTGGTGTCCTCAGGCGTGGTGCTCTGTCCCAAAGGCGGAGATGTGATGCTTATGGCAGGAGTCCCGGTGCTGCCCAGGACCCCATCCCCACTGCAGGTGCCTGTGAGCGCTCAGCACCCAACACGAAGGTGCGCTCACCTCTGCCGTGGCAGCCAGCAGCCCCTGCAGACCCCTCTGCTGCTCTCACCCTCCCAGCTGAGCTTTCCTTGCAGGAGCAGGTAGAAAGGGACAGGCTGTAAAAGCAAAATTGCGCCTGGAGCCTTTGAAAATGCAGACAAACACCAGTGATACGCTCAGATCTTTTATTAGGTGGAGGAAGGGCTAAAAAGAAATGAAACTCCTAAAACATTTCACCAGACTGGTGCAGGACAGGAAGGACCAGGAGTGGCCTCCAGGGTCTTTGTTTTAAAAAAAGTGGGGAAGGACAGGTGACGTTTCCATCCAGTAACTGGCTTTCCTGGGCAGGGTGGCTCAGGGCAAAAAGAGGTACAAGACACAGCTTATACTTTTATTTAAGAAACCGCTACATAATTTTTGCCTCTAATGATGCAAAGGAGGTTCCAGGACACACTGAGCCATCCGAAGTCTCTTGCTAGAGAAACAAACAAACAAAAAAAACCCCACAAAAAAACCCCCAAACCCTGTCTTTTTTTTTTTATTATTATTCAAAAATTGAAAAATAAAAAGGTGAGGCTGTAGCTCTGGGCCACAGTGACCAAACTGCCCATGAGAGTTCATCTTCCACAGCAAGAGGGAGGGGGGAGACGAAAGAAAGGGGAAGGCCCACAGAACTTTTTTTTCTCTTTAAAGTAATAGCTATATTGGAGGCTGGGGGCAAAAAAATCAAACCAACAGGACACATCTTGATTTCTTTTTTTTTGGGGGGGGGGCGCACAGGTCTCCTTATTTGCTTGAATTTAGAACTGCATTAAATAAATGGGCTTCAGCTCCAAAAAAATGGTGCAGTTTGTCTTTGACCGAGTTATAAAGCCCATAGAGCTTAAAAAAAAACAAGGAAGGATGCCCTGGTGCAGATGGGAAATGAATAATTAGTTTTCCTACAAAGAAAATAAAACAGGCTGCAAGATGCAGAAAACCACATTTAGGCTCTATTACATTTACAAATACATACATAAATATATTACATACAACAGCAACTCAAAGAGGAAGCGGGTGAGTCACACAGAGGATGGCTGGCTGGCTGCAGTTCTCCCCGCACAGACGTTTGGCTGAGCAGTTACTTCTTCTCCTAATAATTCCAGGAATGGGCTTCGGCTTTTTTTCGTTTTCTCTTTTCTTTTTTTTTTTCTTTCTTTTTTTTTTTCCCCCTCCTCTCCTTTCATTCTCTCCCCCCTCCCCGGTTCCGGATTTAGTTTGTCCAGTATGGAGAAGTGCCATAGGCGGTTTTGGTAGCCTGAGACTTTTGCTGCATGGTGCTGGGTTGGTTGCGTTGGCCAGATCCACCCTAGAAATCAGAAAGGCATCACGGGCATCAGTGCTCCCATCTGAACATCACCAGAAGAGCTGCTGCCCCTGAGGACAACCCTGACACCTACCACCGTAGCAATGCTCCCCCCTGAATGGAACTGTTTCTGCTCTGCAACATCTCCATGTCTTGCAATCTGGGACAAACGGCCACAGACACACCGAGCAGGAGTGCGGGGAGGTACCATCCCACTGCCACCCCAGCCACCCCCCCCAAGACAGGGAAGGAAAGGAGCAGGACTGGGGACAGCAAAGGAGCTCTCTCAAGGTGAACGGTGGTGGTACAAACAGCCAAAGATGTCAACACGTTCAGAGAGAGAAGTCATTTCCTTTTTCTGGACTCTAAGGCAGAACGGTCTGTTTTTTCAGGGAACATTTACAGCGAGGAAAGGAAACGCAGGGGCTGGTGAAACCAAATCAGAAATTGGAGCCAACATGCGACTTGTAAGGGGATGCTTGCTTTTCCCCCCAGAGTTACAGTACAAGTGCTCATCTCCTGCTCTCCTGCCACAGCCAGGGGACAGCAGCACCTGCCTCAGTGTCACACCTCACAGCCCATCTCCCCACACCCCACGTCAGGATGGCCTCTTCACAGAATCGGAGGCTGGCTGAGGCTGGCAGGGACCTCTCGAGGTCCAACCCCTCTCCCCGTCTCCTCAAGCAGGGTCATCCAGAGCCAGTTGCTCAGGACCACGTCCAGACAGCTCCAAGGATGGAGACTCCACAACCTCCCTGGGCAACCTGTGCCAGGGCTTGGTCACCATCCCAGTAAAAAAGTGTTTCCTGATGTTTAGAGGGAACCTCCTGTCTTTCAGTTTGTGCCCACTCCTCTGGTCCTGTCACTGGGCACCACTGAAAAGAGCCTGGCTCTGTCCCCTTTGCACCCTCTCTTCAGGTACTTATATACATTGATAAGATCCCCCCTGAGCCTTCTCTTCTCTAGACAGAACAGCCCCAGCTCTCCCAGCCTTTCCTCATAGGAGAGATGATCCAGTCCCTTCATCATCCTTGTGGCCCTTTGTTGGACTCTCCAATACATCCATGTATCTCTTGTACTGGGGAGCCCAGAACTGGACACAGGACTCCAGGTGTGACCTCACGAGCGCTGAGCAGAGGGGGAAGGATCAGATCCCTCGGCCTGCTGGCGACACTTTGCCTACTGCAGCCCAGGACACCACTGGCTGCCTCTGTGGCAAGGGCACATTGTTGGCTTCATGATAAGCTTGGGTGTCCACCAAGACCCCCAGGGCCTTCTCTGTCAAGCTGCTCCGGTCCCCAGCATATACTGGTGCATGGGGTTGTTCCTCCCCAGGGGCAGGCTTTGCACTTCCCCTTGCTGAATTTCATGAGGTTCCCTCACCAAGATGATCAATGGTATCAAGTCTCTCGGCCTGCAATTATTGTCAAGGCCCTTTCCCAATGAGCAAAGCAAAAGCCAGAAGGAAGCAAAAACCCCCAAGACCCTGCTGGGATGTGGGTTGGAGCAATCTGCTCTCAGACATGCTCGTAGAGGCAGAAGGGGCCAACTCACCTGCCCATCTTGCTGAAGATGGTGATGCAGCATCTGGGAATGAGGCTGCTGATGCGCAGGCAGGATATGGAGAAATGGGGCTGGAGCATAACCCGGGGCAGCACCAGGGTTCAGGGGCCCAGTCGATCCAAGAGCAGAAGGCAGGCTGAAAGGAGGCGGCGTGCCAGCGTGGAATCCCTGCTTGTCAAACGTCTGCATGGGAGGCAACAGGGACAGCGTCAGAGACTGCTGTGAGCAGCCACACGGTGACAAGAACAAGAGTGGCCCAAACACACATCACCTGAACACTTCACCAACCCCGTGAGCAAGCCAAGTCATATCGAATACCTGCGAGCACTTCAGCAGACAAGTTTCAGCTCCTGTTCTCACCCATATTTCTGCACTAGTGCCTCCAACATTTTATTTTATTTTTATTTCCACTACTTTGTTCGCTTTTTCCCTGTCCTCTTTTTACTCAGTGGGACATGGGATGACAGCAGTTGCCTGAAATCAGTCCTTCACACATTGTGGGCACTCAGCCTGGAATTCCTCGACCTACCCAGGGAGGCCCAACAAAAATGCAGGAAGAACTTGCAGTAAGATTTGCTTTCCCCTGGCCAAAGCTTGATGCGTAACACTAAGTGTGTAGCTGAGAGCTGACTTCCTGCCCATAAGCATGGATCACAGCCAGAGACAGTGATTCCCCTGGCGGAGGGTGCAAGGAGGAGAAAAACGGGAGCTGGACATAAGCCCACTGCACACCACAGCTTGTCAAAGCACTTTCTGCTTTCCCTGGGAAGCTGTAAGCTGAGCAATGGCCACAGCAGAGCATGGGACAGGGACAGGCACTACTGACTGGTCTCTCTGGTGAAAAGCAAACAGCCTCTTGACTTACCTGCTTTTTGGGGGCTATTTTAACTAAAAACATTAGCACCATCACATTTTATTTGCACCCAGGACACAGCTCGCATGGGGCAGCCTGGGCAGCAGGCAGCAGTGTAGAGCACTGTACCTATGCCAGCAGCTGCTGTCAGGAGCTGACATGGCAGAAACGGTGGGACTGAGGGCGAGACTCCAAGAGCAAACAGAGCCAGAGTAAGGAATGCCACAGCCTGCTGACCCTGAGACCGACCGGCCTGGGAACAGGAGGGGAGCCATTGGCCTGGCCTCAGGCCACGAGGGAGGAAAGTCCGGTGTTGCTCACCTGAGTCTTGTTATAGACTGAGCCACTGATATCAGGCACACCTGTGTTACTTGAGGTCACAGAAACACCTGGAAAACAAAAAAGCCACCAACAATGAGAAAAACACCATCACTCAGCCTGAGCCCCATGCTTTGCTCCTGGCACCTCTGGCGAGGCTGCACCTTTGTCCACAGCCACTGCACCACATGCCCTGCTGCTGCTGCTGGACAGTCCGGTGGGGTTCTCCGTGCGCTCAGACCCACAGCACCCCACATGGGAACAGAAGAAAGGGCTCGGTTCCTCGTTCCTGCTGCAAAGCGAGGAATCAGCCCACTGGGGTAAATCACCCACATCCACGACCCAGCAGTTACCACGTGGATTCAAGTGCACACCAGGCAGGAGCTGGCTGCACTGAACTCTCATATAAGCTCACAAAAAGCCAGCTTTCTCCTAGGACTGGGGATGCATTTGGCTCTACTGCAGCATTCAAGGGCTCTCCAGTAGTGCACTGAGCGATGAAACTCAGCATCTGCTACACATTTGAGCCCTTGGCCTTTCACATCCTGCAGAAAGGGTGAGGTCTGCAATGCTCCTCTGCCCTGAGAGAATTAATATCACTGATTCAGGATGGCTTCCACTCGGGCTGGCTGGTGCCACCACAGGCTCAGAAACACCAGCGAGGTGGCTCTCAAACCAGCCACTTATTCACATTCTTACAAAAGACTGGCTCTAATCATTTCACTCGGATCAGAATAAAACCAGCGCTTCCTTTGGCCAGTGAATCAGAGGACTGGACTTAGAGGTATGACTTAAGGTCATACCCTTCCTAGGACATTGCTCCTTTTTGGATTGCTCCTCCACAGAGGAGAACATGATCAGCTCTGGGCTGAAGACAGTCCAGTTGGTGTTTCAAATGCACAGCAAATGCTTGGTATTTGCTTAAGCCCAAGGATGAACTAGTTAGTGCTAAGCAGTTCAGTATACATTTCTCAGGTCTAACCAGCATGTGCAGAATAAAGTTTTCATTTAAGCTGTATAAATTCTTCAGCCTCTGCAGTCACAAAGGAAACATTTCCAGGCATGAAACAATGCGATGAGTTACAGGGCGTACAGACAGCAGCTGAAACAACAGCCCAGAGATGTGTGAACTGCCCTGGTCACCCCTACCACATGGCTATCTCAGGTGCCTACCATGGAACTCCAAATCTAGTCATCATTTGGCAGACAACCATTTCAGCAGCAGCACCCAACTGCTTAGGCTTCAAAAACACAGCACTGCTGCAGGACCAGCATTCTTCAGCAAAGAAAACTTCGGCAGAGGAAACAGCTCACTGTTTCTCCCATGTATAATTGTGGACAAAGCTGCGCATCAGCCACACATATCCTTACGCAAAGTTCAGCCATGAGGTTTAGAAGGAAGACTTGGGCCATTAAAAAAGCATTTTGTATACGGGAGATGGAGAAACAGCTTGGATCATGACCCTGTTTAGAGCTGGCTGCTGTATTGACTGCACAGCACTGGCAATACTGGGAGTTTTCCCTACTAAGTCCCACTCAAGAGCAACCTCAAGTCTCATGTGTTACCTTTCCCAGGTCCAGTGCCAGCAGATTTGTTTTGTGCTTGAGATGACCCACTGTAGCCTCCTTTGCTGTAATCTCCAGCTGCCGTTCCCTGCGTTAAGTCATCATAGCCTGCTGGTGTGTACAAGACAAGGTGTTACAGTGTGCAAGCAGCTCTGCAGATGCTCATGTGAAAAGCACAGTGGTAAGCATACCTGCTCCATAGCCGTGCTGCCCATAGCCACTTGCTTGCTGGAAAGGAGTCGACGCGGTGTTCAGGTTGACTCCATGCTGTTTAGCAGATGCTGGAGGTACCTGACAAAGGAAGGGAACAAAAGGCGGTTAAGTGGGGAACAGCACACAAAACGCAAGCTCCCTCTGCCATCTAGTGGGGAAGGCACCTCCACCTCACGTGAGAAATTTAATCTGGAGTTGGGCGCGCTGGGATGGCATGGGACATGACACTCATGCTTCCAGCAGTAACTTGCTGTAGTGGATTTGTGCAAGCCCCACGTTTTGTGCTAGAGCCGCTCCTCCGATTGCAGTGCAACCCTGTGCCAGAACAGGCCACATATTTCTTTCATACACTGAATATAAACAGCAAATTCTTATCCACAAACCCAAGGAATAGAAACCACACTGCTCTCCCTCCAGAATCAAATGGAACATCAATTCCTGCCTGAGGTTGTTTCAGAAAACACTGACATACAGGTCCCTAAAATAGACTCATCTACCCTTTTGCCTGGAGCATCACCTCTTCTCAAATAATCTTCTCCCACCTGACACTACCAGCACTGCTCTCTGACTTAACTCCATACTCAAAGGGATTTCCTATGCACTCTCAGCTCACTGACTCAGATTTGGGTCTCCCTTTGTCTCTCCAGAGGTAAGGGCTTTCAGGAACACTGAGTCCATGAGCTGCAGCTGTCTCCTATTTACAGTAACCTGCATAGCAGTCCATGAGTTCTGGCCTTTTAAATTTCCTGTTTTCTTGGGGAAGGGACTGCAGCTATTTTCTCATGCTTGCACGTTTTTAGAGATCCCTTGCAGACTGGGAAGGTGACTTTAATCCATTCTCTTGAGACCCCACCTGAGTACTGAATCCAGCTCTGGGGTCACCAGTATGAGAAAGACATGGACCTGTTAGAGCAGGTCCAGAGGAGAGCCACAAAAATGATCCAAGGGCTGGAACACCTCTCCTATGAAGAAAGGCTTAGAGAGTTGGGGTTGTTCAGCCTGGAGAAGAGAAGGCTCCGGGGAGACCTGACTGTGGCCTTTCTATACCTAAAGGGGGCTTATAAGAAAGACAGAGAAATACTCTCCGCCAGGCCCTGCAGTGACAGGACAAAGGGCAGTGGTTTTAAACTGAAAGAGGGTAGGTTTAGACTGGACACAGAGAAGCAATTTTTTACGACAGGAATGGTGAAACACTGGAATAGGTTGCCCAGAGAAGCTGTGGGTGCCCCATCCCTGGAAGTATTCAAGGTCAGGTTGGATGGGGCTTTGAGCAGCCTGATCTAGCGAAAAATGTCCCTGCCCATGACACAGGGGTTGGATTAGGTGATCTTTGAATGTCCCTTCCAACCCAAACCATTCCATGATTCCAAGATGTAGAAGGTTTGGGCTGGAGAGAGCAAAACCAGAGAGGCACGATGGGAAGGTTACAGTTCAGGCTGTCACACTTACAAACATGGTTGGCCCATACTGGAATGCACTGGGTACGCCGGGCACACCAGCGTAATAAGGTAACCCAGTGTAGCTGTAGCCCGGGGGCAGGGTTGGGTTGAGGAAGGGCTGCTGAGTTGTATGGTGAGTCTGCGTCTGGTTCTGCTGCGGCTGGGCAAGCGTGGTAGCAGGAGCAGGGGAAGCAGAATCCCCACGGCCAAATTTTGTTACATCACCTGTGAAAGAAAGAACTGATCAGAACAGCTATCAAACCTACTTCAAAACGGGAGGACTCAAAGGATTCAAATCCTCTGAATACAAGTAGACAACTATGGAAGAGAGCATATCCTACTCTTGAAAGCCTGCAGTTGTTCATGGGGAGTGCTCTCCTGGTCTCTGTTCCTGAAGGCCACAGGGACACTGCCTGTTCATGGCACAGAACTCTGTGCCACAGCTAGTCCATTGATAAAACAGAGATGCCAATACTTACCTATCTCACACAGCCTGAGCAGGTTCATTACAATCAGATCATTGCAATGCACCAGATCGTGCTAGCAGAAGTATGGTAAATAGCCAAAGAGCAAATGGTTGTTGGGTTAAAGTGTGACTCTCCTGGAGGTTAAACTGATTAGCTAAGCTTCATGGGCTGAAAGCAGGTTAGGATTTACAGGCAGTCATGGGCAATTTTTTGTCAATGTCTGTTTGTTTGTCAAGCATGACTAGTTAGATGTCTGGTTCCTCACACCACCAAAGTTCTGGAGACAGTAGCTGAAGGCCAGGAAAGCAAGGCTTGCATCGTGGGCCACCTTATTGAAGAAGTAGGAAGGGAGATTCAGTTACTAACCTAAAAGCAGCCTCCTGAGAGAAGTGATTACAAAGCAGAAAACTCCTGAACACTTGCATTTTCTGTCAGCCTACAGAGCAGCATGTTCACATGTTTTTTAGGGAGGTGACATACATCAATTACATCTATCTCATTCCCAACTAGTATTACTTTTTATTTGTTACCAAGAAGTATGACAACACTTAATACCATCATTATAGGAATTATAACACCTACGGCTACAGTTTTCAGCTGTAATCAGATGGCAGTGGATGAAAACCACTGGCTGAAAATCCTGGATGGCATTAATGTCATCTTTGCACAATGGTAACTGACAAGCAAAAGCGGGAATAGAGAAGGGGTTCTTAGGCCACATGCTTTTGGGAATGAAGTCCATTAGATCTGGGGAGGGTGAACCTGCTAGATGCAGCTCCTGCTGGGAACACAGAAGTGCTGAAATAGCAGTAATGAAGTATGGGAAGCTGCTCATGGGGGGCGTCTATTCCAGTGCCAAAAAAGGAAAGCAAGCCAGTTGAATTTCAAGAATAATAATTAAGCTATGGAATATTTTTCAAGCAACCATATGTGCTTGGGAAGGGCACTAGATGACTCTGCTGTTTACATTTGTAATAATTTTGCACTTATTCTCCAAGGCTATCCAACTTAGTCCCAGGAGAAGTCACATATGAATTATAAACCAAAACCATGAAGAAATATCAATGTCAGGGTTGAGAGGGAGATGCTCACTTTTGTTTGACTAATTTGGACTGATGGGTTTAACTGTTACAGAAGGGAAATCCAATTGCTCTTTCAGCAACAGCAGGATGACCTGCATTCAGAAACCAGCACATCTCACTCACCATCCTCACCTTTAAATAGCTCTCACCTGAGTACGGGTTGTTAGCAAGGCTCCCATCTCTGCCTGTCAAGGTTGCAGGAGCAGGGAATGTAATTCCATAGTAATCCTTGGAAAGAGACAACATCATTTATTAATAGTGGCAACCGTAACAGAGCTGGACAGCTCTTATGAACCCTGTATTATATGCGTAAGAAATTGGACAGAAGTTGACCTTATCGCTTATAGCAGAGCTGAAGATTTACCTGGATCCTCAACTTCAAAACAAACCTACTTTATAGACATCTTTAATATTGTATACAAATACTTCATCTCTTAATGGCAAGTTAAAGGCAATGACTAAATGCTTTCCCCTCCCAACCCTCAGCCCTAAGCTGTCATCTTCCAGTGAGACTGTGCCTGGAAGAGCAACAGATTATTGGGGGCTAAAGACAGGCCAGTACCGTAATCACAAAGTGGATGTAGTCTAAAGGTTTTATTCTTGTACCATGCCCTGTTTCCTGGAAGTGGAAATGCCAGCTAGGAAACCAACACAAACATTAAAAAAAAAAAGAGAGGAGAAAGAGTTACTACCAGATGACTGGAAAATTTATTTAAACTACATTACAAGAGACCTCAGTTCAGTAGTCTTCCAAGTGGGGTGCACAAGAAAATCCACTGGGGTACATGAAGAAAGTGTTCTTGGTACCATTAATAAATAAAACTTAAAAATTTTAAAAATAATGTTTGTTTAACCCTTCTCTCATACTTTTTAAATTTTTATTGTGTATGTTTTATAACATACATATTACTACAGCAGTATAGGTATGTAATTTAGACATAAAAATATATTGGGGGCAAGTGCTCTACAAATTTTTTACTGATGGGTTGTATGATAAAAAAAGGTGGAGAACACTGCCTGAGATCACTCTTCTAGGTCCTCTACAGGATGGTAAGACAGTCCTCACCCCAGAAATCTTGCACTTGAAGATGACAGGACACCCCAGCAAAACAAAAACAGCATTTAGCCTTCAGTTTGGGAGAAAAAGAGAAAAGTTTGCCCTTCCCTCTCTGGGTGAACTCCACATGTGGGTCTGGTATTATACTAAGTGGTTCTGCTCCTAATTCTCATGGCTTATTCCTCACCACCTCCAATCCATCAAGAGTTAATGCTTTAACCATTAATGTATCCATTTCCACACATTATCCAACACTGGAAAAACATCCTCCTCCTTCACACCCCTCTCTGCAAATTCCCCAGCACCTCAAATGCTTTCTCTGAGTTGACACCACCTTCCACCTTGCTGCATTTCTGTGCATCACCCCCATTTCCTACTCCTGATCCTCCATCACTGAACATAGAATCATAGAATTGTTTAGGTTGGAAAAGACCTTTCAGATCATCAAGTCCAGCTGTTAACCTAACACTGCCATTCCACCACCAAACCATGTCCCTAAGCACCTTGTCCATCTGTCCTTTAAATACCTCCAGGAATGGAGACTTGACCAGTTCCCTGGGCAGCCCATTCCAGTGCTTGACAACCCTTTCAGTGAAAAATTTTTTCCTAATATACAACCTAAACATGAAATAATCCAGCAAAGATTTAGCTTTGCAGGTGCTTTCTGTAACTTGAAATGGTGCCATATCTTATCATCCTTTCCTTCCCAGGTAATTCCACTTTATCAGCTCTGGTGTGAATCACCACCTCTCAGAGCGGGGGAGAACCACATCAGCACTGCATATCCCTATCCCACACACCCGTGCATACACGCGTTTGAAACAAAGAATCATTAGAAAACATGAGTGCAAGCCAGTTATCTTTGCCCTTCATGCCCAGCCACAGGAAAACATCAGAAGAGATGCTCTGCTATTTAAACAAGGTGGGTGTTTCCTGACCTACAGAAGGCATGCAGGAGAAGGCACCGGAAGTGAAAAACCGACACATCACGAAGAGACTCAAAAAGTGAAAAAGGACTGAAAAAAAGACAAGTGATCTGATGTAATAGATTTAAGCTCCACCAAGCAGGTCGCTAAGTACCACACATACCAACTAAGGCATTCTGCTATGCTGGCAGCCTGCCAGTCTAATAGAAAGGACAGCATATCCTAGTGTAATACACACACAAAAAATAAACAAACACAGCATTTACAATTTACAGCATCAACACACACATTAATTAAATGAGTTAGATTAAAAAAGAGCACGCTCCCAAACCCTGGGAGAAACCCCTGTTCTTGCTGTATCAGCAACCACCGGTAACTCTCGCTGCTGGAAGCTTCCCAGGAAGCAGTGACGACTTGCACTTGGGACTCTGCCCACTTTCGCTTTCTAGATGTAAGCAGACCAGCATGTCAAAGACAAATATTCCCACATGCTCCTGCCTCCCAAATGCCTAACGTTGCCAAATTTCTAAAAGAAAATCCAAACCACATTAAAATCCCCAAAATCTAGAAATCACAATCATTGCATGAATAGCTGATGAAAAATTCTTTGCAACATTTATGCATTAATTTCTAAGTATGAACACCCAGAGGACAAATAACTCAGGGGGGATGACCCCAAAAATATTCTGCAAGATATTTGCAGAGAGAGGAAACTCACAACCCCTGACAAACTACAAATATTTGTCTATAATAAAGGAAATCATGCATTAACTCATATATACAAATAATATGAGAGCACGAAATGCGTAAAATAGATGTTCGCAGGCAGACAAACCTGAAAATAAAAACCAGGACAGACAACTAAAAAAACAGACAAAAAGGAAACCCTGAAACTCATCCCCACCACAGCTGCCCCAAAAGCCTCTACCACGGTGCTTTCACATGCTGCACCAAACCCTCACAGCACAGGAACTGGGCTCCCCCTGCACCCCAACAGCAGCCCTGGGAAAAAAACCACCTCCTGCTCACACTTTGACAAGCATAACAAAAGCCCTCAGAAGAAAGTAAACAGAAAGCAAAACTGAAAATGGAAACAGGGAAATTCTGCCTAGATGATGGTGATGATGAAAAGAAAGCCACAGCCCCACATAAAACCGGCCACCCGGCAGCACCCCAAGCACAGCGCCCACCTGCACCACCACCCAGCCCGACCAGGCGCCTGCCCAGCACCACCCACAGCCCCAACCATGCCTGCGCCCGCAGCCCCACACACCCGCCTGCGGCACGGCGCCTCGCCCCTCCTGCTCCTCCTCACGGCTCTCGCCACCGCCCTCGCCTGCCACCACCTGCCTCCCCGCGACGACACCTTCTCCTGGGACAGCCTCCAGCTCCTCCAGGCCATGGCCCCCCGCCCGCCACAGCCCTGCCAACACCACTACGCCCCCTTCCCCTTCCCCGACACCCTCCTCCACACCAACCACCCGCACCAAGCCGCCGCCACCGCCCACCGCCTCCTCCAGCACCTCTTCCAAACCCTCAGCAGCCCCAGCACCCCCCAACACTGGGACGCCCAGGCACGCCACCGCCTCCTCAACAACCTCCAGCATTACAAATACGACCTGGAGCAATGCCTGACAGACAACAGCATGCTCTTCAAAAGGCAAGGGCCCCGCAAACTCCTGCTCCACCTCGACAAATACTTCAGACGCATCCAGGACTTCCTCCGCCCCCACAACCACAGCGCCTGCGCCTGGGACCACGTCCGCCTCGAAGCTCGCATCTGCTTCCAACGTGTGGACACACTCCTACGGCAAATGAAGAGCCAAGCCGCTCCTGCCCTCCACCACACCCACCGGCACCGAATGCTCATCCCCAGCCAACACCGGCAGCCACAGATCAAGCGGAGGCAGCAGCAGCCGGGGCTCGGATGGCTCAGCACTCCTCACTCCTCTTCCCGACAGGAGCCCATGGTGACGGGGAAACAGGCATGACGGCAGCGAGGCCGGGGCCAGCCTGCAGCACAGCCCGTACGCCCGCATTGCGGCCACTCCGTTGCTGGAAAGGAAGGAGGAGGAAGTTGCTGTGCTGCATGCTCATGGACAGCCGGAAGGCGATGGGGAGAGGGCTGTATTCATTACCCATGGCGCTACCTGGCCTGTCAAGACTGCAACCTCCCCTGATGGAGGGGAAGGTCCCCATGGACACTGCAGGACTTTCACACCAATTATTATTTATCAAAGAACTCTATTTATTTATCTATTTATTTATTCATTTGTTTATTTGGCTGGTGTTTAATTTTTACATTTCTATATTTATTATTTATTCACCTGTTGGAAATAAAGACTTTCTGCAAAAACAAAAAAGAAGAAAAAAAAAAAGATGTGGTCGTCATGCATCTACCTCACAGGCAAAGACAGGGTCTCTGCAGGCAGGCAGGGATGAGCCTCCCTCCTGCAGCCTGTCCCACCAATGCCTCCTGCCCTGGTCAAAGGCTCCGGACATCAGGCCACTCCCAGGGAACCACCATGGTCCTCATCTGGCAACAGACTCGCCCAGATGGCATGATGCCTGCCCTGCATGCTCCTCCTCTCCCACCAACCACTCGCCCCCTTCCCAATCCCCCTCCCATTGCCAAGCCACCTCCAAAACACCACCCCATCACAAACAACCATTCAGCAATGCTGCAGCATTGCCTGGGACCAAGCAGGGTGGCATGGAAAAGGTGCACCTCAAAGAAGCAAGGAGGGGACCCACCAAGGCCTGTGCACATTTCGACAACGAACAGGCCCCCCAGTGCTACCAATCCCACCCAAGAAACACCAAAAAGCTACAAAAGACAGAGGCAATGCCCAGGACTGCTCATCGCTCTCTTACAAGCACAACTGGTGCAGGACGCTCCTGCCTGTGCTCACATGCCATGGGGACCTGCCTCCCTACAGAGCGCACATTGGCCTAGGCCTTCTTTACCTCAACACATCCTTAGCAAACAAAAAGACACATCCCCCAAACACCACCACCCAACATGGTCCAAACCAATCAGCACGGACCAGCACAGCATTCCCTATGAAGGAAACTGCCCACGCACCAGCAGCACCAGTTGCTCCTTCGCCCTTCAGCCACCACCCCAAAAATATTTGCCCTGGGTGATTTGTCCTCCCCAGGTGAGCCCAAGCAAGACAACACAAATGTTCAGCAGCTCTGGCCAAAAAGGTTGTTCTCCGTGCTCAGTCACATCACCTCCACCACCACATCACTGCAAGCACGCTGCTCTGTGCAAACACCAATGGGCACTTCCCATGCAACTGGAGAGTGAGAAAACAGGGGGGGGGCAAATATATTCAGGTACACAGCAGGACCCCTCAAGCTGCAACTTCCAGGCTGTACTACAGTCCTCCCAATGTCCCTTCTAACCTGAAATACCCTGTGACATCAGGCAGGGCGGACCACGTTGGCTCTGTCTTCTGAGGTGGCTGGGGAAAGGAAAGCCTCCTCGGACATGAAAACAGAGAAAGAGAGGTAATGGCACAAGCTGGAACACAGGGAATTCAAACATGGAAGAATAAACACATTGTTATGATCTTTAACATGACGGTGAAGCAACACCAGAATAGAGTTCAGGGAGGTTGTGGGATGTCTATTCCTGGAGACATATCCAAAAGCATCACTGGACAAGGCCATCAGCAACCTCCTCTGACACCACCTACCCTCAGCACCAGATCACACGTGGGACCTCCAGAGCAAAACAGACCATTGAAAAAGAATTTAAAACATGGAACGAAATGATGCATGAACAGTGATTTAAAAAAACAAAAACAAAAAACGAGAGAGAAACTGAGAAGTTCCAGTAGTATGAGGGCACAACATAAGAAGCACGCATTTCACTGGGAAAAAAAATGGAAATTGGAAGAATGGAATTCTTTGTAGAGGACCTTTTCCTCTGTGCAGCACAATGAGAGAGTGGTCACGAAAAATTCCAAAACTAGCAAAAAGAAAAAATCATCAGAACAATTCTGTCTGCATGTCCTCCATTCTCCAATAAGCAATGGCTTACAAAAGACTTCTCATCCCCCATCACAATGAGGTTCACAATGAGACAAGGGAAGCAAAAGAACTGTAGAACCTTGATCAATAAAGGTTCAGTGTGCAAAGGAAGAGACCCAGAGCCACCTCATCAAAGAACACCGGGACTCAGAGAGCTCCTGACATTCCCGAGAAATGCTTAATATTACAAATCTCCCAATATGTAAACAGAAATGATGTATTCATACAAAAACAAAGATGACGAACATACCGAAAGTAAAAAAACCACAACCAATACTAGAGTATTACATAAGGAAAAGAGACTTAGGAAGAAGGGGAAATTCAGCGGAACAAACCAGGCATGAGCGCTAGCCCAGAAGGAAACCACAAAAAAAACCACAGCAGCAGCACAAATGCCCCATGTGTAAATATCCCATACGCTTTCGTATCGCCCACTCAACCAAGAAAGCTGACGTAGTCCAAAAAATGCCTCCCAAAATACATCACTGGCAAAATATCGCCAGTACACTCACCAGATAAGACCAACCCATCAAAGGACTTCCCAAAAATCTTGCCACTACCTCTACTCTCAGAGCCACGGACCTCCAACATCAGCCTGCTTCCTGCCCTCATAAAACCTAGTGACATAGGAACATTTCCTTCTCTGCCAGACACCCCGCGCAAGGAGGCCGACAAAACACAGCAAGAGCCCTGCTACAGGGCCACACGCGTGGCACCACAGGCAGGCACCCAACAAACGCAGCAGCGGGAGGAGCAAAACTCTTCCCTTTTTCCTCTCTCCTTCCTCCTCAAGCTTTTCCTCCCGCCTGCCTTCCCCATTCTCAGCAGCTTACACACCGGAGCTGGGGCAGCTCCATCCAGGAACACACCCAAGGCCCAAGTGCCTACACCCAGAGACACCTCCTCACCCGCATGCCGATGCCGCCACCGCCACCACCCGCAGGCCCTGGCTCCACCAGGGAGCTCCCCAGCCTCTGCCTAGTGACATCACCTCACAACCCTGCCCAACACGAAAAGAAAAGAACAGCCAAGATGAAAACAAAGGAGAGGCGCAAGTGAAAGGGAAAGCCACCACGGCCAACCCCAGGGCACTACAGGCGGAAAAGACACGGGGGCAGGAAGGGAAACTGCAGCTGCACCAAAGAGGCACCACAGCTTGCCCTGCAGGCAACAGGGAAACCCTAACCCCACTTGGGGCGTTTCTCAACGCCAGCTCTCTCGTTGCCCTGCTTCAAAACACCTTGCAGCACCAACGGCTCTAGGGCAACACGGGCGACCTCCAACATCAGCCTGCCTCCTGCCCTCATGGCACCTACCGACACCAAATCATCGCGCACGTGCCAGCACCCCAAGCACAGCACCCACACACACAACCTTGCCTGGCTCCATGACCGCCGCCACCCGGCCACCGCCACACACGCCCTTCCCCTCCTCCAAAAGCTTTCGCAAAACACCTCCCAGCGTCTCTCACGCAAGCACAACGTGCTCCTCGCTGCTCGAAGGCACCTGAAAACCTCAGCGCGTGCAACCTCCACCTCCTCCTCCCGACGCTACAGCTCTGCAACTACATCAGCCCGCTCAGCTCCACCTCCAGAGGCCTCCCGGCCACCCCTCCGCCAGGGGCGCAGGGGCTCGGCCCATCCCAAACGCAAGACCCTTCGCTTACGGGGGCACATTGCCTTCTCTGCTCGCCAGCCACCCCGCGCAAGGAGGCCGACAAAACACAGCAAGAGCCCTGCTACAGGGCCACACGCGTGGCACCACAGGCAGGCACCCAACAAACGCAGCAGCGGGAGGAGCAAAACTCTTCCCTTTTTCCTCTCTCCTTCCTCCTCAAGCTTTTCCTCCCGCCTGCCTTCCCCATTCTCAGCAGCTTACACACCGGAGCTGGGGCAGCTCCATCCAGGAACACACCCAAGGCCCAAGTGCCTACACCCAGAGACACCTCCTCACCCGCATGCCGATGCCGCCACCGCCACCACCCGCAGGCCCTGGCTCCACCAGGGAGCTCCCCAGCCTCTGCCTAGTGACATCACCTCACAACCCTGCCCAACACGAAAAGAAAAGAACAGCCAAGATGAAAACAAAGGAGAGGCGCAAGTGAAAGGGAAAGCCACCACGGCCAACACCAGGGCACTACAGGCGGAAAAGACACGGGGGCAGGAAGGGAAACTGCAGCTGCACCAAAGAGGCACCACAGCTTGCCCTGCAGGCAACAGGGAAACCCTAACACACCTCCCCGGCACAGCTGCCCGCACGGGCTCTGCCCCAGCCCTTTCGCATCCCCCACCCAACCGCTACAGCCAACCTCCCCCCAACACGCCACCGCCCCCCCACGCACGGCCACCCCACCAACGCACTTCCCCAAGACCACCACAGCCACCAGCCAAAACTGAAAACCACAGCCGGAAACTCGCCGCAGTCAGAAAGCGAGGAAGGGAAAGCCGCGGCACCACATAAAGCCGGCCACCCGGCAGCACCCCAAGCACAGCGCCCACCCGCACCACCACCCAGCCCGACCAGGCGCCTGCCCAGCACCACCCACAGCCCCAACCATGCCTGCGCCCGCAGCCCCACACACCCGCCTGCGGCACGGCGCCTCGCCCCTCCTGCTCCTCCTCACGGCTCTCGCCACCGCCCTCGCCTGCCACCACCTGCCTCCCCGCGACGACACCTTCTCCTGGGACAGCCTCCAGCTCCTCCAGGCCATGGCCCCCCGCCCGCCACAGCCCTGCCAACACCACTACGCCCCCTTCCCCTTCCCCGACACCCTCCTCCACACCAACCACCCGCACCAAGCCGCCGCCACCGCCCACCACCTCCTCCAGCACCTCTTCCAAACCCTCAGCAGCCCCACC